TGTATATGTATATATATATATATATATATATATGTATGTAAAATTTAGCTTTGAATAGAGGCAAACAGTTTTGTTTGCTAGCTTATACAAAAATTTGATTAAAAATACTTACGCATAATCATTATTTACACCATAATAGTATTAATGGTTTGAACTACTGAAATCTCATGAGAAATTGTAGAAACTTTGTTGTTTTTAAAAAAAAAGATAAATTACTTAGTTTGATTAAATTTATTAATTATGTTTTCGTTCAAAAAAACTTTACAACTACTATTCAAGTGTAATTACTCTTTCTTATTTTACATTAGTTTGTACCAATATGGACCTTTCCTCCAATTATTTTATACTTTATTACATTCGATTTTTATCACATTATTTTAGTACGAAGCCAGTAGTTATCGTACCTGATGGCGCATGTTGCAAAAACAAGAACAGGCTCGAGATACCCGTATGGTATGACCCGAGAGACTCTTTGTACTAGCCCTGGTTGTATGCGAACTCTATTATTCCTGCTGAAGACGCAGTAAACGTACAAAGATATAAGAACTCTAAAGTAGGAGAAGAGAATTTACCACACTTATAATAAAAAGAATACATCAAATAGTAGTTTTTATCATTGGTACATATCTCCTTCAGAGTGATTTCGTGGCCCAAGAGTGATTGTGAAGCCTTCGTGATCTTCATAGATGAATGAGTACCAGTATCAAACGCCAACTTTTTCTACTCCAAGTGTTTTCATTCATCATTTGAATGTTTACTATCTCTTTGGTAGGAAAACAAAAGTCAAAATTTTTAGCCATACGGAAATAGAAAAAAATTATAATGATTATAATGATAATTAAACTTTGACAAATTAAATAGTACGAATTTCGTCTGGTTTTTAAGCACAATCCTTTTTTGACATAATTGTAACAGTTCGCCAGTACATAGCTGATCTCTGATGACGATCAACTACATGGATGTGTGAGAATTATACCTGACTATAGAGTGAGAGCCCGTGGTGACTCAGTCAGCTAGGTCGTGCGTCAGCACGTGAGAGACCGCGGTTCGATTCCTGGCCAGTGCGACTTATGACGGAGTCATTTTTCTCTGACCTATAGCATTAGGCGCCGAAACGCGTCATGAAGGTGGAATCTATTTTCATTATAAGAAGCTAATAAAGGTCCGGGTCTGTGTGTTTCATGTTCTACGTGAGAGTAATCGGATGCAAGGAGTAGCGCCAAGGAGAGAAGAGGAGACATAGCGCCGAAGAAAAGCCCAAGAATGTATAGTTCTGCGTATTAAAGAATATTTGTAATTACCGCGCCAATGTCATAATCTAGTACTTCTTTATCAACGAAGATTGTATGTATTCAGAGTATGTATTGTAAATT